TAAAATTTCGACTCGGATTCAACAGCGTTTAAAAGCAAACTGTGTAAAATAAACACGCGTCTGGCTCCACTCAACCAGAAGAACGGCGGGTGACGTCACATCGGCAAGGCGCGGTAGAGAGCGTTTGCCCGGCCATTTAAATTAACAATATTTAATTATTTTATATTAGAGGCATTTCTTAACCGATATCAACGATTTTTTTTGTTCAATTTGTGATTATATGAACTATTTTTTAAAACCATTATTTAAAAACATGCATTTTCCTCATATTGTGCTGGGTTGGCGTTGGTTTCTATATAATTTGACAAATAAGTAAAGCTGTCTCTTTAGTTGTCAGTTTTGAGACAATATTTTTAATTCTCTTTCGTGTCGATTGCTGTTTGAATTGGAGCTAGAAATGGTTCAAAACGAAATAAGTAAATTACCAACAGATATTCAGGCTGAGGCGACAAACGCCATATCCAAACTAATTCCATTTAAGTCCCGAATAACTTATGAAAAGGAATACAAAATTTTTCAAAAATAGAAGCAAAATTAAAAAACGTGCGAGAAGAAATAAAGTTTTTAACCTATCCTCGCTGTTAAAGTATCATTTAATCTACTCTTGCCGTTAAAGTACTATTTTATCTACTATTTTGATAAATATTTCGGGAATAGTGTTTATGTTTATGTTTTAAACCGATGAAATCAATTTCTCACTGATAAAAACCAGCAAACGACTAAAACGATCTTAAAGGAGCATTGTTTTCTCCGCCTCCAAACACACGCCAAACTCGTTAACCAGACCGATTATCTGTCTGCTCCTGAGAGGCCACGTTATACCGGAAATCCAGGAGTGGCTAACTTTATCGGCCCCGGTCAAGCTAACTTGGGACAACTCCCAACTCTTAATTTGCTGACTGGACTCCACTCTACCTTGTAACGATCTCCGGATTAGGAGGAGTTGCTAATCTGGACGGAGCCGGAGCAGCTAATAATTATCCGTAGAGAAGTTTATAGGGAGTTGTGTGCTGTGTGCTGATTGAGGCTGTTAAGCTCTGGCAGGATATAGTCTGTTAAGAATTTTAGCTTTGTTTGTTGGTTCTTTTTTAAATAGGGTGTTTTTGATGTAAGTCTGGATTAAGGAAAGTTGCTTAGTATAGTAGATTTGTTTAGTTAAAATTAGTTATCGGTGATTTTGTAGATGTGTGTCTAACCTAACCTAACCAGTTTCCTGAATCGTACCATCATATTTGTTAGTGCTTTGACCAAATTCTGGCACAATACCGAGGTATTTACGCTTATGTTTATTTACTGGATTAGTTTTAAGAATATTTTATTAATTTTTATTCAAGAAATTATTTATTAAAGACCCTAAACGTTATTTAAAACTTATTAAATTAATTCTTATATTGATAAACCCCTGAAAAGAATCGACAAATTTCGAATAAACCAAGAGAAACAGACTATTTCTGGTTTAGAAGTATTTTTCGCAAACAAATAATTGAGTTAGTCCCAATAGCACATTTAAATCTCCAACACAAAGCAGTTTCAAACTTGTTACAACTTCTGAATTCGGTATTGATTTGCTAGAGAGGAGTTTGAACCAGTAGATTTATACAAAAAGAACAAAATATATTTCTTTTATATGTCTGAAAATACACATATTTTGAATCAAATTTATTTGACTTTTATAGCTAAAATAAAGTCATCTGGTTTAAATGGCATAACAATTATTTTTTTTCCATAGCAACTGTTAAAATTGCCTTATATCTATCAAAAATAGTAGATTAAATGATACTTTAACAGCGAGGATAGGTTAAAAACTTTATTTCTTCTCGTACGTTTTTTAATTGCTTCCATTTTTGAAAATTTTTGTACTCCTTTTCATAAGTTATTCGGGATTTAATGAAAATTTGGATATGGCGTCTGTCGCCTCAGCCTGAATATCTGTTGGTAATTTACTTATATCGTTTTGAGCCATTTCTGGCTCGAATTCAATCAGCAATCGACACGAAAGAGAATTAAAAAATATTGACTCGCGTTTTCATCGCTCGTGAATTTTCGTTTCACACAAACCATTTTAATGTGATACTTTATTTTAATACCAACAGATCAACGGTTGTAATAACGTTTAACAAGTGCTATAACGTATACATATGTGGGGTAATATTTAATTTTACCCCTGTATATATTTAGCAATTTGTTGATATTACCCCGCTTTTACGTCTGGTAATGTTCATACGCGTTGCATAGTTAGAAAATATTTGTTTTCAATCTAGATGATGACGTTTACCAATCAAAAAGGAACGTTAATTATTTGATATATTTTTATAACAGAAAATGCTTTTAGCTTTTAGTATATAAGCACTGCATAAAAGAAAAAAAATCTTAAAAATACAAATTACTAAATATAGGAAAATAAACAAAACAGCACACTTCTTTTAGTGTAAAAGCCCAAGTAGCATTTGGACGTTATCTAACGTCGGGTATACGTCACGTTCAATAAACCCGACGTCGGGTACCAACGTCGGTTCGACCGCCTGACGACCCTTATTTGCACCTAAATGGGGAATACAGATTCGGGTCGCCTCGACGCCGGTATCTGACCTAATAGGGAATGTAATTCTACCAATTACCAACGTCATATTACGTTGGATTTAGTCACTTAAAATTCGTCGCTAAGCACTTACGTTACGTTTGGTTTCATATTCGCTACCAAGAATACATAAAAACCTAACCAAACTACCTAATTACAAATGGATTCATAATCACTCCTCGAATATAACTATAAGTGCCTATTTAATTTCATATTATAATAATTCTGAATCATTAATCCAGACATCAGTTTTGTCAACGGAAGTCACTTTCTTGATATATCTGATTAAAATACTCCGGAAAACAACGAGCGCCTTCAAAATTAGGTAGATTTATGAAATAAAAATATCTATAAAAAAGTAAATCGCAAAATATTTTTTTAATTTTCTAGCTGGTTTAATCATAAAATTGTACTGTGGTTCCCCCCAAACTCAACCTTATCAATATTATTCTACTAGAAATCGAAATGTGAAAGAATCGAATCTTATATGCAAATGTGTTTATTTATAAGGAAAAAAAAGATATTTTTTGTATAAAAAATTAATTTATTTAACAAAATTTAATTAAAAATGTGACAAAATAGTTACCTTTCTATTGGTTTTATCGGACTTTTTTCGACTATATAAATCTTTATTTGTAAACTTTAATACATCAAATATTTTCAATCTAATAAATCATTTAATGATGTAAATAAGAGGAAATTTCTCACATGGGTGGTCAAATTTTATAGTTTTCACTCGAGTTTTCATTATATCAAACAGCCTCTGAGAAATGTTTTCAACTCAAAATGCCTTTAATTATGTTTGACTACATCATTAAAAAGGGTCTTCAAATACATCAATGTGATATTTGTCTAAAATTTGCGAAAGAATCCGAATCTCTGGATAACTCGAAATTATTTACCCATTTAAAAGCCTTTGATCATGAAAATGGAAAAATTTGTTAATTTTATTTACAGGCTGGAAAAATTATTTATATTAAATTTTGATGAGTTTTGCACTGAAGAAAACATTCAGAGGCTGTTTGATATAATGAAAACTATAGAATTTGACCACCTATGTGAGAAATTTCCTCTTATTTATATCATTAAATTATTTATTAGATTGAAAATATTTTATGCATTAAAGTTTACAAAAAATAAAGATTTATATAGTCGAAAAAAGTCCGATAGAACTAATAGAAATGTAACTATTTTGTCACATCTTTAATTAAATTTTGTTAAATAAATTAATTTTTTATACTATAAATATCTTTTTTTTCCTAATCTCCGACGAGCTGATATAATATGACGAGCAATCTATTAAATTACTGTGAGATTATACAGAAAAGTCCACAGACTTCGAGGCATAGAAAAATCAAGTCCATTTAGCGTGTGTCCTAATTTTGACAAGTTTTCAAAAATGACAGTTTTGTTTAGACTGACGTTTAATTTCACCTGACTTCTCGGTGAATTATTTCTTTTTATGGGGGTACATAAAATCTAAAATTTACGGCCATGAAGAAATTCAAAACTTGGAGCAGTTAAGGCAGAAAATATTTAATGCCTTTGACACTGTCACCCCTGATATGTTATCCAATGTGAGGAGGGGATTTTATGATCGTTTGGGTTATTGTTTAATGCAAGAGGGAGGCACTTTTGAACAATTTTTGTAATTTTTTAAATTTCATTATCCTGTTTTTTTACCGTTTACCCATTACCTACCTTTTAATAAAAAATACTAAAGTGTTTTAGTAGTTTTAATACACACTATGATATAAAATTTATTATTATTATAATGTACATTATTAATACTATTGTTCATTCGAAATGGCATTAAGGCCCAATTGCAACAATGATTTAAATTTTTCTTAAAGATAAGTAGAGCTTAGAATGAGCTGTATTTATATTTACTTTAATATTCACCTTAAATGAGGGAATTTGACTGATACAATTTTTGAATTTGAATTGTTTTTAATGATATTAACAATTTTAGTTCAATTTTTAATAAAATTTATTTAATATTAATAGAAATCCAAGAGATTTGAAACCTCTTTTAGCGATTTATAACATTCTCAAATGAATTACAGGTGCCCTTATTTTGAATGAAAATCACACAGCTTTTTTCATAGTCGCTGCAGTTGCTATAGCTATAAAAACTAATTTTTTAAGGTGTGAAAATTGCGACACACGCTAAATGGACTTGATTTTTCGTATGTCTCGAAGTCTGTGGACCTTTTTGTATGCCTCGATAACATATCGGTGCAGATTATTTTCACCCAAACAAATAATAACCCAAACTATACATTGATGCGGATTGTCTATGAACTCTTTCTGAAGGTCACAGAAACCTGAACGCGTAATTCGGTGTTCTTTCGCATCTGTTCTAGTTAATTTGTGCTTGTACTGTAAATAACTATTACAAGCTTTTTGCTCTTGTACTTACAGTTTACATACATCGACATTCTTTTACTGACAGCTGGTGGCACGTCATTGCTGGCAATACACAAGTAAGTACCCATCTGGGTCCTGTCCACCTTCCAAAAGTTCAGACTGGTACCGTTGAAAGTATCCACTGAAAACAAAACACCCAGAAATCAAAAACTGTCTTAAATAAACTTTTTTCGAAATCTTAAAAATTAAGCCGGCGCTTTAAAGTAGTTAGGACAAAAAGTAAAACGTTTAATCTAAATTTAGAAGTTTCCCTGGATCGATACCAGAACTTTGTGCAAAGAAGTTAGAAAGTTTGTAAAACTGACAACTTTTTTATTATTTACTTTATTTTTAATAAAAAAAATCGAAATTTGTTATTTTACTTTGCCAAAGGAAAAATACCTTTACTGATATACAGGGTGGTCCGAATTGAATTAGGGAAATTTCGGCATCATATTCTGGATTAAATTAAGTAAAAAAGTTCGTAAAAATGTATGTCCTAAAATGCTTAGTTTCGAAGATACAGGATGTAGAAATTTCATTTTTATTTCGATTTTTTCCAAATAATTAAGTAACGTCAATATTTAGATAAAAATGGGGTGTCTGGGAGTTTTTTGACATGAGAAATTTGATTTTGATGTCAATTTGACTCCTATTTGTAGGAGGCGCCACCTACATGTGTTTTAACTGTTTTGAAGAGTAATAACTTTTCGTCCGTTCCTATATAAAACTATTGAATAAAAAAATATACGTAAAAAAGGTCTCTTGGTAAAAATCGCTACGAGTAATGATTCTCGAAATATTTGGAATCGAAATTATCAATACCTGTCATCAGTGACATAAATTAAAGATGTTGATTAAATAGTTATTGCACTGAAATCATAAATTTGAAATGTTTTTGTGCCAAAAGTTCAACATAAACTGTTTCATCATCATGTTCACAGAAAAATTTATGATTAATTTAGCCTACTCAACGTGTTTATTTTTTGTCAATAATGACAGGTATTGACTATTTCCATTCTAAATATCTTGAGAACGTTTGCTCGTAGCAATTTTTACCAAGAGACATTTTTTACGTAAAAAATCTCGGAAATGTATATTTTTTGACGAAGTGGTTTTGTACAGGTACGGACGAAAAGTTATTACTCTTCAAAACTGTTAAAACTCACGTACGTGACGCCCCCTGCCAATAGGAATCATATTGACATCAAAATCAAATTTCTCATGTCAAAAAACTCCCAGACACCAATTTTCATCCAAATATTGACGCTACTTCAGGAATTATTCGGAAAAAATGGAAATAAAAATGAAATTTTCTACACCCTGTATCTCCGAAACTAAGCATTTTAGAACATACATTTATACGAACTTTTTTAATTATTTTTATCTGCAGAATATGCTGCCGAAGTTTCCGGAATAGAGTTCGGACCACCCTGTATATCTTATAAGCTTATTTACTTTTTTAATTATTTTTATCTCCAGAATATGCTGCCGAAGTTTCCGGAATACAGTTCGGACCACCCTGTATATCTTATAAGCGAATAAGAAAATGATGCAAAGAACGGTTTTTAGAGAATAGAGAACAACGGCATACGGTCGAATCGGCCTACAAACACGTAAACGTTTACGTACGCATGCGCATTTCTTATATTTTCTATTTTTTATACACGTAAAAGATTCTTTACGTCTACGTATACGTGCCAGGAGCGGCCGACTCAACCGTATGCCGTTGTTCTCTAATATCTGAGTATAAGACATTCCTCCTTCAGAACGTACCGTATAATCGAAAAAAAAACAACGTCCAGTTGGCTGGGAAATGACGATCGATGACATTTCCAACATAAATTTACATAAAAATGACAGCGATCTTCATTTCATAGCCATCGCAGACGCCGTTTTTTTTTCGATCATACGGTATTTTAACAAAAAAGTTTATAATATAGTAGATGTTTTCTCAAAGACTCGATATTTTTTGTCCATTCAAATCTCAACAAAGCAAGCCAAGAACATGTCAGCTTAGCGTCTTGGTAATTTTTCACGTCTTTCATACTTTCGCTTATGATAGATATTACAGGTGAAGCTTTATGAATAATAGACTGAAAGATCTCTGGCCTGGAATAAACTGCAATATGTAGTTTATATCGCTATCAGAAGAGTAATTTTTCTCTTTAGCGCTTTTTGACGGGTGAAAAGTTTCATAATAAGTTATTTTGTCAAAAACTAAACTAAATAAAAAATAGGTGTTGGTTTAAGTACAGATTAGGTATACTGTATGTATACAGATAAAAATCTTATCCCTAATCCGTGGTACGAAAATTGTTTTTTATGACGATGTGCAAACGAGTAAAATTCCCTGTGCGCAAAAATAAACTGGCGTAAAATAACAATAAACAGCGTAATAGAGAGATATCGCTAAACCGAATAGCGTGCATGGACGTTAATAAGATAAAATAAATAATAATTAAGAATCACGTACTGTTTTAACTTAAAAAATAATTATTGTAAATATGTAATCTACTTAAATCAGAAAATCACTTTTCTATTTTTTTCAATATACAAACAAATTTTGAAAACGTTCTCTTACCTTTCGAGAAATTTCTAAAGCTGCGTCTGATAAAAATTGGTTCTCCATTTTCCTTTTTCCACAGGACTCTAGGCGGGGGATGCCCCGAAGCTTTGCACCACAGAGTGGCGTTTTCACCTTCCGACACTGAAAAGTCGCCACTAGTGTCTTCGTTTAGTATATCAGGCGGTACTGAAACCAATAAAAACACCTTAGAACTTCATATCACCAAAACAAATATATTAATTTATACTATTAAATAATTTAATTATTTGAACTAAAATTATTATACTATTAGATATCGAGTCTGTTGATTACAACATGTCTAGGAAAATGGTTTTTATTATTAATCAGTTTAAATTGTTAATATTTAGCCAGAGTCCTTGGTGCGTTTATTTTCATCTCTGGTTACCAGGGCGGTTTGTGGTTGTTCGGTTTACCTACACTAGAATAATTGACGCTCTGCTAAACATTATGTACATAAATTATGGTTTCATTCCTTTATAATTTATTCACAACTGTATAATATATTATTAGGTACATTAGCTGGGAAAACTTAATATAAATATATAAACTTACAATATAATTTTCGTAAGTTAATGTTTGTACAGTTCAAATGTTAGTATAGTCAGTTTAGTCAGTTAGTTTGTACAGTTCAGTTCAGTTTAGTCAGTTATTAGTTTGTACAGTTCAGTTCAGTTTAGTCAGTTAGTTTGTACAGTTCAAATGTTAGTATAGTACATCAAATCACATTTACGATGTGTGTACATTATTAGATGTAGACACAGGGTGACACAATTCCCCCGATGTAAATATGCTACGTTTACACATTGTAGTTCAACACGTATGCACAAAGGTTAAACGTCCGCCTCACAATGTAGCCACAGTATAGCATTTACGTATACACAAAGTAAGGGATACACAGTGTGCCGTAGGATACATAGTGCTTGTGTATTACGTTTAAACTATGTTTACACATTGCAGTTGTGACTACCGCGTATATACGTATGTATTTTGCTTCGTATATACATCTTGTGCTAGATAAAACTACTTCTTATGAACGAATTTAGGCAATAATACAAGTTTTGATGCCTAACTTTTCGTTCTTTTTAAGAAATATTTATTCAATGATACCAATTATATCTTTTTAGAACGAAAATTAGGAAGGCAAAACTTTGTATTTTTCAAAAGTATCTCGATTGTAAGTTCAAGAAAAGTAGCCTTAAAATTGTTCCATTTTTGTTTTGTATTAAATGTACCATTTTTCTTCCATAAAATGGATTAAGTGGTTAAAAAATAAAATTCTTATATTTCTTTATATCATGAAACGCAATAGCGCAAATAACACAATAATAATAATAAGTATTTACACTGCAGAAACCAGAAGTAAGAAAACACTATAAAAGAACAGAATTTGTATCAAAATGTATTAAAAATATAAGTACCTAGTATAACAACATACTAAAATGGTAAACACTGGTATATCGCCACGATTTGGTGGACCTCGTTTAGTCATTTTTTTCTCCTCTTTTCCCTCCAAGCAGTTGGTTTGTTAGCATACTCATTCAACGAGCACTCTGTTGGACTTTGTTGTATTTTATTTCCAGATTAACAATATCACCTTTAAATTTTATATGAAACTGATTATTGAATATTAAACATATCTGTATATTGATCCATCAATAACTTACCGAATATCAGTGTAAGAAGTTCTTTGAAGTGTTTAAATCTTTCTTTCTCTGGTCCATTTAGTTTTTAATTATTTCCAAATTAAAAAAAATTATATTGCAGAGCTAACCTCTTTATCATTATACGAGAATATTTGGAGTTTTCATTCATTGGAGTCAAAATTTGGTAAATTGGGTATCGAATAAGGGAAGAGTCGCTGCTATAATATTAATAATACCCTTAGGAAGGTGTAACAAGGTAATTAAAAACTTGTGCTTACCTTAAAATCTCTTTTAAACTACACACAAACAGAACATTTATATAGAGCTTCCGAATGATAAAACAATAATGGCCGCTAACACATACCACTCCTAGAAAGGAGAAAGGAGAGAGGACACATAAGATACACTTGGTCGGTGTATCTACGCTGAGGCTATCCGCGCGTGCGCACACCTTCATTTCATGCTAGAATGTAGACACAACAGTTTACACTGTTACAAAGTGTCTATATAGATATTGATATTATGTGTTTACGTCACATTGTTATAAGGTGTGTACTATAGGCACAACTATGATACGAAGTATCACACATACATATGACTTATACATTGTATGTCTCATATACCGACGTCAGATTTCATAATTTTAATAATTATTTGTTACGTTACAAAAAACTCTTTAGAATCTTGAGTGCATACGGTATACAACTAGTAAACTGTATCACACAATTCTATCAATATAAACCTGCGTGTATCTCATATATATATGTTAGAACTAGATGAACACTTAGGTTCATTTTAACATATATTGTTTCTCATGTGTCTCCCTTGTAGAAACGTAATTTCATTTGGACGTGCTATATGGGTATACTCAAGGTGGTTTGTCATTGCCTTCCTAGAGATGACGGCTTGCTGGTCGCTGTATTTAGATAAATAAATATTTTTATTTAAGCAAATAAAGTGACAGTACTGGCTGGGGATCGACCCAATACCTCTCGCAGAGCAGTCGACATACTACTTCAAATTTGTATTTATAATTTAGATTTTACAAGCAGTAATTAATCATTCTGAAATCATTTGTATCTTAATTTTTGTTTGTATAATTCTAGTAAAACATCATGATAAAGATCCCAAATAAATATCTCCAGCAAATAATAATAATTTTCGTCCCTATTTATAACCCATTTCTCTTTCAGTTTTCACTATATAAACAACAGAGAAAGGGAGCATTAAATAGCACAAGAGCGGCCCGGCAAATAACATTATTAAGTCGTCTTCCCTTTTATACGGTCGTTTCTACTTTCAGCATGAAACAGGCCCAATTGTCGACGTTTACAGGGTCTTAATTAAGAATGAAGGTCCGGGGAGCATCGGCAAAAGTTTTACGCTGTAGGGAAAACTGCCGGACTCGTTACATTGCCTTTCCCTGCGGAAGAGAGATTTATATTGTGCCTAGTGATTTGAGCAATGTCTAGCAAATACAAAGACCAATAACACCCGAGACCAAATTGTTACCGTACCTCCAAACAGTGCCGTGCCACATATTTTTCTTAAGAGTCCATTTCACTAGTTTGAAAAAGTAGCAAAATAAGCGTTCGGCATGACTTCTTTTGCAATATAATAATTTAAAAATATTTAAATTAGTTTGGTAATATTTTTTTTCCCAAATATAATGAAAAAAACATCAGCACAATATAAAATAAAACAGTAAAGATACTCCTTTCAGTTCGTCCTTTGATATTTTACCGCTCCGACGCCATAGCAGCCGAATAATAAAATATTAAAATTGAATTAAAAATCGATGTCAATGTAGTAGCGCATGTAGAGCAGCCCGCTGCAAATGAAACATATAATTTAGGTTTTTGTGCCCGTGTTAGACCAGTTTCATAAAATTTATTTACGCGAAACGACTTGTTTTTATTTAAACTTTTATAATTTTCCAATTTTACACATATAAACGAGTTTGCAAAACCATATTATTAATATTACAGAAATATATTAATTTTCAAAGTAAAGTCCTTTCTACACGTAAAGTTTTACCTGTCAGTTAAAACGGTCAGATAGACGGATTAAAGGCTAGCACTAGTCGATTAAAAAAAGGATACCGTTAATATTGCAAATTATATTTTATCCTCTCATATGATGAAAATTTAATTTTTTGATTATGTAACGAGCTTGAATCCATTTTTGCTATTGATCAAATCGGTGTGAGAAACTATGAAGCTATAAAATGTTGTTTCGGGAGAGTTGAATATCCGGGAAAGTTGAGTTATTGAATGTTATTGCACCTAACAACGTCTTAATTACGATCTCATTTACGCGTTACCATTTTTTCGGCAATTTTATTAACATTTGAAATTGTCACAACACAACGCACAGTGCTTCGTTCCATGGACAAAAATCGAAAAAAAAGTTAAAATTTACCAATACCTGAATATGTAATTTTATACTTATAGCAATGTTCAACCATCCTGTATATTATTTTTCATAAACAGCGTTTTTTGTTAGCAAATATTTTCACTAAAAATAAATTTTGCGATCATTGTCTTATCAGTGAAAAGAATAACATTCATAGTAGTTCTGTATATTATGGAGCTAAACGGTACGTACTTAATTGAAAGCCACTGTGGATATTGTTAAACAAGGTATGTACTTTAAATTTATTTCTAAACAAGTTCGTGATTGTTTAGTTTTTATTTATTTTTTAAGATGATTCTTAAATGGGTATTAAAATTTTACGTTTTCAAACTTCAAAAAGGCATTTAAAAAAAACATATCAAAACATATCGTATTTATTGAATATTTTTGTTGTCATATTCATACACTTTTAATTTTTGTATAGTTCACCTGCGTCTGCTTGCGACGAACTTTAATTTATAATACTTTTCAGATGGAGTAAAATTGATAAGCAATGCCGATCTGGTTAATACTTGGCTTGATCATAAGGACAAGAACTCAAAATTATTTGTATTTCAAAAAATGCGTTCTTTATTAGATATTGATGAACCTTCCAGTCAAATGAGACACCACTTGTGCCTGAAAAAGCCCACTATGTTGGAGCAAAACGTCGCATAAAAAAAGTTTCCATCTCTCAATTTATTATAATACCTCATACTCAAGAAAAGAAAAAAATAATATATGGATGTGGTCTATTAAAGAGGTAACTCTTAACATCCGAACCCCTCATACCAACAAAAAGAACAGTAACAACGCGAAAAAGTAACATATTAGAAAATTATATACAGAAATATCTTATATGTGAAGATACTTCATCTACCTGTGATTTGGATACTATAAATTTGGAAGATTCTGTCATTCATTTTTATCTTATATTAGGCTTATATTGTAGGAATCATGTTCTAATATTATTTCAGTTCTTTTTTATCACAGGGAGTTATTTAATACTTACACTGTTTTCATTTAGTACAATGAGAGTACTCATCATTTGTGTCAAATAAACCTAGTTTCAATAAATTGCCTACAATAAAAGAGAAGTTTTGCATTTTTGTCCACTAGAGGCCATAT